GTCCCTGGGCAGGACACTTAAACTCTCTCATCCTCAGTTTCCTCTTCTGTAAAATGGAAATAATAATAGGTTGTTGTGAGTATAAATGTGATATTCATAAAGTGCTTTGCAAACCTTAAGGTGCTACATAAATGTAGCTATAATTAATATTATCTGACCTTAAGCAAGCCATCTAATCTTTCAAAGCCCATTTCCTCATCTGTAACTTAGAGAAATAATACTTACAGCACTAGAATGTAAGTTCCTCAAAGGCAGGGGCTGGTTTTGCTTTTTGTATTTATATCCCTATTTGTATTTGTACTGTATCCCTAACACCTAGAACACCTAGTACATAGGAGACATTTGCTAAATAAAAGATAATTTTTTTTAGTTGTTTTATCATAGGATGCTTGTTTTGGGTTTTGATTTTGATGTTGGTATTTTGGTGAGGTGAGGAAATCACTTTGTAAATTGTAAAGATCTATAGGAGCGTCATTATTTCTTTAGTGTAATCAGCTAAGTGCCGCTAGGTGGCATCATAGTGCACAGAGCACTGAGACTGGAATCATAAGGATTCCTCTTCCTGAGTTCAAATATGACCTCAGACTTACTAGCTGTGTGACCCTGGGCAAGTCACTTAGCCCTGTTTGCCTCAGTTTCCTCATCTGTAAAATGAGCTAGAGAGGGAAACAGCAAACCACTCCTGCATCTGCCAAGAAAACCTCAAATGGGGTTGTGACTGAAAAACAACTGAACAATCAGCTCACCTGAGCATAGGTGAGAACTGGTTCTAGACTTGGCTCAGAGGCAGAGAAATCCAAGATACCCACCTTCACTAGATAATACTGGGAGTAGAAAGAGCTTACTGATGGTTGATACTGAGTGTTGGGAGGTGGTAACAAGGTTTGATGATACTTGAAAAGCTCAACTACTTTACAGTCACCAAATGTATTGAATCACTCACTTTCCAGGGGAGATGTGTCAGTGGGATTGGGGTGTGTGTAGTTATAGGACCCTCTAGTCCACCATCCGCATCCAAATAACTGAATGGTAATGCAGTTCCCTACTCTTCATCTCAAAAGAAATAACTTTCATCACCACCTTTAAACACCACAAATCTTGTGTTTCAGTGGTACACACACAGATCCCTATCACCTTGGGCAATGCCCCCCTCTAAAGCCAAAAAATGCTCTTTCCTTTTCATCCAATGTTTCTAACAGCATGGCTCATCAGAGAGAGTACTAGACTTGTAGTCAGGAAGACTGGAGTTCAAATCCTACCTCAGATTCTGACTAGCTACTTTAACCTAAGAAAAACATTTAATCAACCTCATCTATGACATGAGATAAAGAAACACCCATCTCACAAGGGTGTTATGAGGATCAAATGTGCATCAAGTACTTTATAAATTACTCCCCTCCCCATTATTTCTACTTACTTTCTATTTACTTACGAGTGTTGTTTATTTCCAACAGAGTTTAAGCTTATTGAAGGCAGAGAATTTCATTTTTGCCTTTGGATGCCAAGTGCTTAACCTACAATGGACACTTCATAAATGCTTGTTGATTGATTAGTTGATAAATATTAGCTATTCTTTTCATTACATTTGTCCTTGGCTCTGTTTCCCTGATCCCTCACCACAGCATTAGAAGACCTCAGGAAGACAATTGACTACTCCATCCTCTAACAGCTTTTTGGCAAATGGAAGCTAGGTGGCGCTGTGGCTAAAACACTAGGCCTGAACTCAGAAAGACTGAGTTCAAATTAAGACACTTGCTATCTCCAGACCCTGGGCAGGTTGTTTAATCTCTCCCTGCCTCAGGTGGGGTGTATGAGGTGTTCAGGAGAACTAGCACCTCTGGTTTGAAGGCTTGCCAAGCCCTTTTCAGGGCTGCTCATTCATCTTTGCTGTCCACTCAATTCACCCAACACTAACCTGTGACTCCAAGAAGGTATTGCATGCACAGCGGCCACATTCAGGTCTTGGCAGATGGGCTAAAATAGCTTGAAGGTAACCCACAGGCCTCAACTCTATTAGAGGATATCTACCCTAATCATGTGAAGACTTCTTCCAACAATTTGTTCCAAGAGACATGAAGGCAGCTGAAGCAGGAGCTATGGAATTCTTAGAGCTTGGCCAGGTATCAAAGATGCCAAGGTCATTCATTGCATCCCAAGCCACCACCAGTCATCTTGACTTCTGTCCTGCCCCTGGACTTCAATGACTCAGGAAGAGAGATTGAGGCTGACAACTCTGTGCAACTCTGCCTCACTTAAATCCAACTCATGCACAAGTCAAGACGTCACCCCATGATGAAATTGGTCCTTTTCTAAAATGAAGGACAAAACAACAAGCTTGCTTCATGTTCCTCTTCTATAAAAAGGGGATAAGAATAGCACCTATTTCCCAGGGTTGTTGGGAGGATCAAATGAGTTAATATTTTTAAAGTGGCTTGCAAACCTTAAAGTGATATGTCAATACTATTATTATTAATGAGAGTAGATGACATGAAGCCATAGTGGTGGGAAGATGACCTTAACACATCAACCAGATAACCTTCCAATGTCACGATGACTGATTGGTTGTTGTCCTTTATGCTCAAAGAGGACCAAAATGACATCATTATGTGGGGGTCAAGGTACCATGTGTCTAATTATGGCTGATCAGACCAATGTGATCTTGGAAGGCTCTACCATATGTTGGGAACAAATAGGCAGTACGAACACTTGGAATAGAGATGTCTCTAAATTTGTGCTGGATGATGACTAAGAGACAGAGAAAAAAGTTGTTTTAACTCTGTGTTGAGACTAAGAATACAAACACCAAACAATAAGGCAATTGTGATTTCCAAGCAGGATAAGGGCATCAGCCACCACATTTTGCTTTGCTTTGAGATGCTGAGATGAAAGGCACATTTGTAAGAATGCAAACTGTCCTTCCCTATCTTCTCTTTGAAGCTGCAGCTATTTAGTAATCATTCTTATTTAAGGTGCTTCTTTTTTTCTGAGGACCCCTATGCTACTAGCTCTGGAGGAAAGTAATTCAGTAGCATAAAAGCCACCCCTATTTCAAAGTCAGTCTGCAATTTAAAGTCACAGGGAAGAGTCATTACACCAAGGTCTCTGAACAAACCTGTGTATATGTCCATGCTCCAGATTTAAATGAGTCTTTTCAGCAACATTCTCTTCTGAGTCAGTTTGGAAGCAGTCATTCTTCTTTCTACGTTACTAAATTCCATGTAATATTGAATCTAAGTATAACTCATTGAATTTTAGAACTAAAAGAGACTTTTTAGAGGTAGTCAGGTCCAGCCTTCTCATTTTACAAATGGAGAAACTGAGACAAAGAGAAGTTAAGTAAATATTTGGAGCAATAATAATATCTCAATAGTGCTTTGAAATTTTCAACGAGCTTCAGATAAATTTCTAATCTAAACATCAAAATAACCTTGTGCAGTAGGTAATATAGGCATTATTACTTTGTTTTATAGATGGGCAAGATTTGACAACTGATTAGCTTTGTAAGATGAGAAGGAGTGAAGCATCCGGGAGTACTCAGGTTTCCAACATGGAAGGATGGTGATACCTTCAACAGGAATAAGAAAGTTGAAAAGAGAACTAGTAGTTTAGGTTTGATATGGACACAAAATGCAACACTTTTAGGTCATTCAACAACTAACAAGAAGAGATGCACTTTGCCGTACAAGAAGGATGTTCTATAAGGATGGGCACTGAGGCCAGTCTCAGTAGATTCAGCTAAGCAAAGGTCCATTGCCTGAGTTGTCTATATTAAGATCTACCAGCCAAAACTCAGAAAGCTCCCATTGTTCCTTATGGCTTCCTTGTACCCAGGTGATTAGGAAGGGACCTGAATAGTCTGAGTCCTTAGTTCTTTGACATAACCAAGGCTTGAGGAATGATTCAATATCTTTTAAGGAAAAACTTGCTTAACCCGCATGGAGGGATGGGTCAGGAGGTTGCTCCTATTACATGCGGAGAAGATGACAAATTCTATTTGGGGCATGTTGAGTTTGAGATATCTATAGGACTTTTCACTCAGAATGTTCAACAGGCAGATGGTGACTTGGAAATTGAGCTCAGGAGAAAGACTGGGGCTGGATATATAGATCTGAGAATCATATTCATAGAAATGATGCAAACTTCTACCAAGAAGTAGAATGTATAAAGAGAAAAGAAAAAGGCTTAGGACAAATAGCCTTTGTGTAGACCCACAATTAGAAGACAGAATATGGGTTGATGATCCAGTAATGGAAAAAAGAGTAATCAGATAGGTGGGAGCAGAGCCAGGAGACAATAGTGACACAGAAACATAGAAAAGAGAATTTCTATAGGAAGAGGTGATGGTCAACAATGCCAAATTTTGCAAAGAGGTCAAGAAGACAAGGATGCAGAAAAGGCTATTAGATTTGGCAATGATGGTAACTTGAAAGAGTTGTTTTAATTGAGCTAGAAATCAGATTAAAGAGGTATAAAAAGTAGAGAAATGAGAACAATTTTTTTTCCTATGAATTGGGCTATGAAAGGAAAGGTAGAAAGAAGATGGCTTGAGATGATGGTAGAGTCAAATATATTTTGTTTTTAAGGATAGGAAAACCTGGACAAGTTCCTAGCTGCAGATATTTTGGTAATTGTTCACATTTAAATTGTTCTTTTTTTCAAAAGAAGGAGTAAGGAAATAGGGAAAGTTTGAAGCTAGGGGTAAGGGGAAAGACAACTATAATGGGGGCAATCTGCCTGAGGAGATTCAAGAGGAGGTAACCAAGGGTGCATATGATGATGCAATGGAAATACTGCTAGACATGGAGTCAGAGAACATGGGTTGTTAAGTTTGACCTCTGACACTTACTACCACTAACTGACCTCAGAACCTTAGAAACATATTCAAATGAATCAGTATTACCCTTGCTACCAAAAGGGTGTATCATTCTGTTCCCTATGACCATGCTTGTACCTTTCCAACCAAAATACCCATTCCTAGCTACCACTTTCCTGTGTGTTGTCTCCCTGTTAGAGAATAAGCTGATTGATTTTTGTATCTTCAGTGGTTATCATAGTGTTTGAGACAAGGTAAGCACATTTTTAAAAATGTATTTATTCATTCAACTTCTCTGCTCCTCAGTTTCCTAATCTGTAAAAGGAAGGTGTTGAACTAGGTGATCTGTTATGTTTGAAACTTGAGGTAACAAAGTTTCAAGAATAATCAATTTGTTAGTTAGGCTAGCAGTAACCAATAGATTGAGTCAGTGGACTCTCTCAATAAACAAAACCGTTGAGTAAAGGCTGACACAGTCTTTTATAACAATTAGCAAGATGACACAGCAAAATCTCCCCCATCACAGGTGTGTCTTCTTCTGACTGGCTATCAATAACATAGTTAGAATTAAGACTACAACATTTGGAATTCCCCTTCTAAAACCCCCTTTACCACAGCCAAGATATGTGATTTAAATCATAAGACAAAGGTTCCCAATATAATAAAAATGACAATTCTACCTAGATTAATTTAATCAGAGCCATACCAATCAAACCAACAAAAGTTATTTTATAAAGCTAGAAAAAAAAATAACAGAATTCATCTGGAAGACCAAAAGATCAAGAAAATCAATAAAAAAAAATGTGAAGGAAGGTGGCCTAGATGTACCAGATCTCAAACACTATTATAAAGTGGTAATCATCAAAACAATCTGTTGCTAGCTAAGAAATACAGTGGTGAATCTGTTGAATAGATTAGGTATAAAATATACAGCAGTAAATGACCGCAGTAATTTAGTGTTTGAGAAACCCAAAGATCCAAGTTTTAAGGACAAAAAGTCACTATTTGACAACAATTTCTGGGAAAACTAGAAAACAGTTTGGCAGAAACTATGTACAGACCAACATTTCACACCGTATACCAAGATGAAGTTAAAATGGGTACATGATTTAGACATACAGGTTATACCATAAGCAAATTAGGGCAATATGGAATAGTTTCCTTGTCACATCTATGGGTAAGGGAAGAATTTATGGCCAAACAAAAGATAGAGAGCATTACTAGATATAAAATACATAATTTTGATTGCATTAAATTAAAAAAAAAGTTTGCACAAACAAAACCAATGCAATCAAGATTAGAAGGAAAGCAGGAAATTAGGAATAAAATTTACAGCGTTTCTCTGATAAAGACCTCATTTCTTAAATATAGAGACTACTGAGTCAAATTTATAAGAATACAAGTCATTCCCAATTGATAAATGGTCAAAAGATATGAACAGGCAATTTTCAGAAGAAGAAATCAAAATTATCTACAGTCATATGAAAGATTTCTAAATCATTCTTGATTAACAAATATGAGACAAAACAACTCTGAGGTACCACTTCACACCAATCAGAATGGCTAATATGACAAAGGAAAAATGACAAATGTTGGAGGGAGTATGGAAAAATAGGGAAACTAATGATGCACTGTTGGTGGAGTTGTGAACTGATCTAACCATTCTAGAAAACGATTTGGAACTAGGCCCAAAGGAGTATAAAACTGTGCATGCCCTTAACCCAGCAATACCATTACTGGATCTACATCCCAAAGAGATCAAATAAAAAAGAAAAGGACTTATATGTACAAAAATATTTATAGTACTTTTTTTGTGGTGGCAAAGAATTGGAAGTTGAGGGGGTGCCCATCATTTGGGGGGTGGCTGAATATGTTGTGGTCTATGATTGTGATGCAATACTATTCTGCTATAAGAAATGACAAGGGGGATGGTTTCCAAAAAAAAAACCTGGGAAGTTTTTATATGACCTTATATAAGCTGAAGCAAAATTTAGTGAGCAGAACCAGAACATTGTACAAGTAACAGCAATATTGTATGACGATCAACTGTGAATGACTTAGCTGTTCTGATCAATACAATGATCCAAGACATTCAGGACTTATGATAAAAAAAAAATACTATCCACTTCCAGAGAAAGAAGGGATAAAGTATGAATGTAGATGGAAGCATAATTTTTTTTTACTTTCTTTTGTTTTTCTTTTTTTTTTTTGCAACATGGTGAATGTGGAAGTATGTTTTCCATGATTTCATATGTATAATTGATATCACATTTCTTGCCTTCACAATGGGGGGGGGGATTTAAAGGAGGAAGAGAATTCAGAACTCAAAAAAATGTTTAAATGAATGTTAAAAATACACAATTTTTTTTTAAAAAAGGAGGGAGGGTGATAGCTTTGTTAATGCACTGTTAACCAAAAGAACAGAGAATTCCAATGTATAAACAGCAGGGCTTGAGAGAACAGGAAGGCAGAAAAGAATTTGGGATGGGCTGGAGAATTCAGAAAGAAGCTCTTGCCAAGATTGGGATCAGAATCTGTAGTGAGTTTGAGAAAACAGAGATCATTAACAATCATGGCAGTAGGAAACATTTTTGTAAATTCTTTTTCATTCCCCTCTCTGTGTTGTTTGTGTAGTTATCCAGGGTTGCCAATGTTCTTGAAGGTGAGGTTTATCTGTCTAATATGGAGATTCTCCTACTAGTCTGGCCAGAAAGAGATTTTCCTTGTAGGGGACACTAAGTCAAGCAAGAAAAAGAAGTATCTCCCAGAGCGGATCATATTTCCTTGTGCTAGAGGGGCTCTTACTAGAAAAAAATAATTTTTTTTGGTCTGGACATGTAATTTTGTTGTCTTCAGGAACATCTTCCATAGTTGAATATCAAGAACTGTTCTGTGTAATTCATTGTCTTAAATGTTGCCTGGGTCACTGAGACCATAAATGACTTGCCCCTCATCATCTAGCAAGCATGTGCTAGAGTCTTGACTTCAAGGTAAATATTTTTAACCCCAAGGCTAGACCCCCATCTACTATACCACATCACACTCTCTCATAAGAAAGAATAAAGATGATTTTTTAAAAATGAAGCATTAGGCCATGTTATAAGAGCTGAAATTAATTTAATAGCTTGGAGGGCAAGCAAATTTCTATCATGAAAAAAATTGAAAATGTGATTTTATAAAATGAATGATCAAGGGGAAGGAAGGCCTATTCTTCTTTCAATATGTCAAGAAGGTGCTAGGAATGATAAAAAATCACATATAGAAACCTCTGAAGAGAAGAAGGCTTTTAAGGAACAAAATAGATATTATTTCTTGCAAAGGCATTTAATGGTATGTATGCTATAAAAAGGATATTAAAGCAGGAATAACTAAAGCCAAAAACAAAAAGAGATGTTTATGTGCCAAATGGATGAATGAAGAACATAATTTTTTTTAAAGTATTTATCAAGTACTATGTGCCAAACAGTAAGCTAAGCACTAGAGATAAATACAAATTAGAAGGCAGTATAGGCCTTCAAGACCCTGCATTCTAATAGGGGAGGCCAAAAAAGTAGAAAGGAATAGTGGCCAGAGCAGGAAGTCTTGGATTGAAAATTTACCAGATTCTCAATGGAGACCTGGGAGAGCAAATTGGCACACCTTTCCAGAAGAGTCCGTTTGGTTTTGGATCCAGAACTGCATAAAGGGGTGTCAGGAAGGAAGGAGACTAAGAGAATCACAAATCATGGGAGGAAGGGGAGGTGGCACAGAAGAAGAGTTCCTGCATGAAAGTGTTAGGCCTCCAGGACTTGCGTTGGGGAAAGAATGAACTGATGTTTTGGTAATATGAAAGGGGAATCAAATGAAAGATGACTGAAGCCCAGGCCTGAGCCAAAAGACTTGGAATGTGAGTTCTGAGAAAGAAAAAATTAAGACCTCCAAGTCTTGGATTCTAATGGAGACTTGGTGGAAATGGAAACAGATATTTAGACACTTTGAATAGGAATTCTTTGTGGAACTGGTTCAAGATGCAAGCAGTAGAGGAAGGGAGAAGTCAGGGATCAAAGAAAGAATCTGCCCAAACTGCACCCTCTTCCTAATGTCCCTATTATTGTCAATTGTTATTGTACCACCATCTTCCCAGTCACCTAGGCTCCCAGCTTAGATTTAGCTTCAACTCTTCACTCTCTCTCTTGCCTCTGTATCTCTTCAACTGTCAAATCCAGTTATTTCTACCTTTGTTATATACCTCTTTCTTTCCTCTGACACTGCTACCACCCTAGTGTATCATCTTATTCCTGGAATATTGCAGTGACTTTCTAGTTGGCCTCCCAGCCTCAAATCTCTGCCCAGTCTGGTCCATCCTCCACTCAGCTGCCACATTGATCTTCATAAAATAAAAGTCTGACCATGTCTGACCAGGAAGCTAAGTGGTAAAATGGATAGAGATCTAGAACTCAGGAAGATGTGAGTTCATATTTGACTTCAAATACTTACTAGCCAGGTAATCCTGGGCAAGTTACCTAACTTTTGTCTGCTTCAGTCTCCTCATCTATAACAAAAGGATAATAATAACACATACTTCACAAGGCTGTTATGATGATTAAATGAAATAATGTTCATAAAGTGCTTTGCAAATCTTAAAGCCTTATATAAATGTTAGCTATTATTCTGTGTGTATGTGTGTGTCTGCCTCTCTCTGTATGTATGTGTGTGTATGTCTGCCTCTCTCTGTCTCTCTCTTTGTCTTTCTCTGTCTATCTCTGTCTCTGTCAGTCTGTCCATCTCTCTCTCTCTCTCTCTCTCTCTCTTTCTCTCTCTCTCTGTATGTGTGTGTGTGTATGTCTGCCTCTCTCTGTCCCTCTCTTTGTCTCTGTCTTTCTCTATCTCTCTGTCTCTGTCTCTCTTTCTGTCATACACACACACACACACACACACACACAACTACCACCATCATTATTCAGGTTTTGCTGAATATAACCTCCAGGATCAGAAATAAAGTCCTCTGTTTGGCTTTCCAAGTACTTCATAAATCGATCACATCCTACCTTTCCAGTATTCTTACACCTTGCTACCCTGCACATATATTGAAATCTAGTGAGGCTGACTTCTTTGCAGTTTCTCAACAAAATATCTGCTGAGAATTTTCACTGGCTGCCCCTTTGCCTGGAATTCTCTTCACCTTTACCTCCTAGTTTCCCTGGCTTCCTTCAAGTATCAGCTAAAAACTCACCTTCCGCAAGAAGCCTTTCCCAAGTCTTTTTAAATCTTAGCG